CAGCAGTACTCTGTTGGATAAACGAAGATATATTATATCTCTCTCTGTCGCGCGATTTGGCAAGAAAATGGCGTCGCTTCTCATATGGCGCCACTCTGATTAGAGGCTCTCTACTTAACGTCGTCTTCGAGCGCCTCCTGGCGCGTGTTGTTTGGCTGTATCGACTCCATCTTGAAGTCTATATAGTCTTATTATCTTTTGGAGTTGAGTGTGGTACAGGCAATTATTATGTTTAATTTTTGTACAATTACTATAGATTATTTGGATAAATTTGATCTTAAAAGACTGGATGTGGATATTATCTGCATTATTATTAGTTATGCATAATGTGCGTAATGTCCATTGTTTCAAAATCAGTTTGATTGACTCTCCAGCATACAAATAAGAACTGAATCAGGACATTAATCATATTTTTTGGTCTTGTCTTTTCCTGAGAATTCTTAAAATTAATATCAAAATTTAAAGAAGACAATTATACATTTAAGTATATATATTTTGCTATTTACATGTCAGAATTAAAGGAGGCATCAACAATTATACACTTAAGGATATATATTCTGCTATTTACATACATAAATTTGTCATGTATTTTAAGTAACATGCTTATTGCATATTGTTAATCTTAAGAATAAAAACTGTCATTATGATCTTGACGTAGTTTAAGACAGTGTGCACGACGTTCAATAAATGCGACCATTCTAGTGGACGGTATGGTAGCGCCAGTTAATATCTAATAAAAAATTAATATTTATCAAATTTCAATACATTATCGAATTAACATTATAAATAAAATAATAAATTATTTAAGAGAATAAAACAAAAACTATATTAAGTGATAAGTTTATTACCTTTAACCATGGCGACCCAAGACAGATTTCTGCATTTACTCGATCCTCACCACGCAAACATAATAATTTCTTGAGAAGATCCTTTGCATCGCTGGATATCATCTCGAAATATTCGTCGGGAAAACAGAAATCACATTTGAGAATGTTGGCGGTAGTTTCTTCCATGGAGTCATCCAAGAATGGCGACAATCCACTAAGGAAAAATAAATCAAAATAAATGGATAAAAAAGGATGGATAACAAAGTAAATAGTGCAGTAAAAAGAAATAATAGTAGATTAATTAAATAAGCAATTTCAGAAAAATACCTCAGCAAAATATAAATAAAAACTCCGACAGCCCACATATCCGTGTAAGAACCAGTCGGTCTACCTAGCACTAACTCTGGCGCTGCAAATTCCAGATCGGCAGGAGGTGGCACAATCTCGTCGATAGGAGCTCTGACTGCTTCCCCCAGATCTATTATTTTCACGTGGTCCGTCTCATGATCGACAAGAACATTCTCCGGTTTCACATCTAGATGCGCCCGGCTGCGACAGTGCAACCAATGCAAGGCGGACAATAGTTGGCAAGTATACCGCGTCACCGTCGCCTCGGTGTATTCCGTTTTCCCACTCAGATACGCGAACAGTGTCGGACCTTTGACTCTGCAGAGAGGAGAGCGCTGCTTAATACTATGGCACATTGATTGATTGATTGATTGATTGATTGAGAAATAGTTTCGCGAATATTTTACAGTTCCAAAACGATGGTGTCCACTCCGGGTCGAGGTGCGTTCTCGAATAAGGCGAAAGCTCTGACGATGTTAACGTGATGAGTAGAAGTCAGCACGTCGTATTCTGCGCGCGTCAACAATCTCGACTGTTTGTGTCGTGGAATTTGTTTGAGTGCTACCTCTTGACCAGTGCCCTTATCTCTAGCGCGACGAACCGTGCCGAATCTACCGTTACCCAGTTCGTCCAGTTCCAAGTATCTGCCGACGAACTGTTTGGCTTCCCATTCTGCACCACCACCTATGTCCGAGCGTGACAGGGTCACTACAATCGACGGCGAGGTCATCCTTCCATCGTCACCTATTACTCGAAAACTATATGAGGCATCCGTCGACACATCTAATAGAACTGGCGGTTCATTAGTCTGCTTCGATATTGGCACCCATTGCTGCGACGGTAAAGTTCTACATTCTATACTACACAATGTGCCACCGATTTCTTCCTTATCCCAATCAATCTCCACTTTTGAGCATCCTAAAACGCGCGCAGAAGTATTGCTCTTCCCGCCTGAGATACGATTAGGATTTAATAATACTTGTAATAATTGTAACATTTATCCTGATATTTCTATTTTGGAATGTTTGAGCGACATACCTACGACGAAGAGAGAAATGCTCGCAGAGCAAGAGTCTGTTCCACTTTTTAGGTAACAGTGATATATCCCAGAGTCCAAAGCTCGGCAACCGGTGATTTGCAGGTATACGAAGCCCGCGCTTTGCTGGAATTGATACCGATCATTTTCTCTTATATATTGATTCTCACCTTCCTTTCGCCAAGCAACAATCGCATTGTCCGCGTTGTACGTCTCAACAGAGAGTCTAACGACTTCACCGACAGTTGCGCGAATCGACATCAAATTATTCAGGATAACTGGCGTTTTGTCCTCGGGCGTTGTCGCCATTGTCGTTGACTCCCAGGGATCAGCAATGTGGCATCTCGCGAGATCGATTTTCCGCGGTCGAAATGACCACGCTCGGCTGATTGCCGAGTTCGGGATAAGACTCGCCGGAATCCACAACTCGTCCTTGGTATTCACGGGAGACACCACTAAGCCCGGGCCGTCGAAATGGGAGACAACAAGTTCATCTCCGGCATGTAACTTTCCCCAATCTGCAGCCAATCTTACACGTGCACCTGGCACGACCTAAAGAAGTTCCCTTGTTATAAGCGTCTTCTTCAACATTTGTCATGTTGTTAAGCGTATCTCTCATGTAACTTGCGACATTACGCCTGGTTTTGTATTCACCCAGAGCTTCCAACACCATAATACAGCGATGATAGAGGCAATATAATGATAGTAGCAATCCCGGAAGAAAAAATAACAGTGTAGTAGTGGTTTTGACAGAATCAGTGGTATAGCAGCGGTAGAGTGGTTGTTACAGAGGCAGTATCAATTGCGACGATTCTGTGGAGTGCTAGCGTAACACGTTTGGTGACGATAGTAAAAACTAGCAGTGGAGTGTAGTACATAGTACAGCATATAGTGAGCAAGAAAATGTTAGAAGCGATAATGGAGTTTGCAAGATCAAAAGTTATTCGTTACAAGAAGTTTTGAAGTTTCTTTCCATTTTTCTAGCGATTATCCCTCGTAGGTGTGTATATATGGCATTTGCTGTACATCTGTATAAGATCTCATTGCACGAGTTAAGAGGATACGTAATAGCATATGGCGTTTGTGGCTCGTTCATAATCATCGACAGAGTTCTTTAATGATAGAGGTATATAACAATCGTCGGATAGAAGATAATGCAATAGATAGCAGTAGATAGCGACAAGCATCAAGAAGAGGAAAAGCCCCTTTGCTGTAATCAAGAATTTTAATTGATATGGGTGATAACTTTAAATGTGTATACACTAGCTAAAGATTAGGGTTGGGAAAGTTTATACTTTTTAAAAGTAACTTGTTACTCGTTATCGAGTCAAAAAAATAATTAGTTACCGGATACTGACTCTAAAAAATAACTCGTTATCGTTATCGTTACTTAAAAGACAAGATTCATTACTTTTTCCGTTACTTTTTCAATGCTAAAACAAGATCAAATTAAATAAAAAAGGTAATTCTATAAAAAAACTTACACAGCTTCGATGACCTTGACCTTGATATATGTTACAGAACCTGTTCATCCCTGAGTAATATTGTTTTAACAACTATGTCGCAGTCTCTATACTTTCTGAAATATTTAAAGTTAAAATTTAATAATTTTGGTAAGTCTTTAGATTAGGGGCAAAATCGGATGACTCTTTAACTTTGACATATGTTGTCAAGAGCACTCTTCTGAGTAACAATAAAAGATTTTTGCCGACATTCCAGTTCTACTTACTAGGGCAAAACAAGGTCTATAATTGTACTGTTCCACATGATATATTTAAAAATTTTTTTAGTAAACTTTACCGAATAACAAGGCGAACATTGGCTAAAACTATTAAACTTTTTAAAAATCATGACCTTGATAATATATGTCAAGGTCAAGATTATTGGAGTTGATTTTCTTGGAATTTTACTTGTAATATTTATGTAAATACGGTTATAAATAACTCAGAAACTGTAAGAGACCGCCACCTAGTTGTTAAAACAAAATTACTCAGGATGAATCCTTTACATATATCAAGGTCAAGATCATCAGAGTTGTCTAATTGTAAGTTCTTTCATAGAATTAAAAAAAAATTAGTTATATATTTTTAATTAAAATATTACAAAATCCATAAGAAAAAATATAGTTGTTATTTTTTTGTTATCAAAACTTTGTAATCTTTTATACTCTCTGTCTTCTTCCCGTTCTGATTATGCAATTAAAATTATCCCCCTGCTAATTTCGTGATTGAGCGGCTGATTATAAGAGCTATCGCAATTCACGATTTCATTGTCAGTTAAGAAATGAGAAGTAACGTTTAGGTAAATTTCATGAAAGAATAACATGTTCCTTGTATATGGCTTGTATAAAGCAATTATCGCTTTTAGTGATGATTATATTAACATAAAATTTGGGAAATTCCCGTGAAATATTACAACTGATTATCGTATATTTCGAAATTGCGAATACGCGACGCTTTGCACTATGCTCTTGAGTGCGATTGCAAATATTAATAAAAACAATATAATTCTTTAATTTCAATTACAAAGCCATAAAAGTTTTAAATTGCACATTAACGAGTACTGTGCGGATTATCTTAACTTTGACATATGTTGTCAAGACCTTGAGTGATCTTCAAAAGATTTTAATTGGCGGTCATTGTTTATGAAAAAGTTTATTAACAAAAAATGTTCGAGAAATATATGACTAGTATTTATAGTCAATTTTTATATAAGGCCGTCTCAAAACAAACGTATGGTCTTAAAATGTTATAAACTAATCACAAAATTATATTAATATCTGAAGACATTTTTTAAGATAATTTTGAAATAAGAATCAATTATAAATAAGACCTAATTATAATTGAATCCATCATGACTAAATAAATAAATATGTGTAGTATATCTTAAAATTATTTTTTAAAATAAATACAATTACAAACTTCATTTTGTCCCGAAGAGGGATGGAAAATGTAGGGTGAATCTCATTTTGCGTGGAAAATTAAAAGCCAATGTTTTCATGTAAAGCAAGGTTTATTCTACTAAAATGGGGTTATATTTTTTTATTATATTATTTGGAGGTGAAACTTCTTCATTGGAAGAATTTACTGCATTCACGTATAGACTTTACAACGTAAGTAAGGTCCATTTCGCATTTCTTGCTCCTGCTTACAGGATAAAATCTCATCTATATATATTATTTAAATAATAGACTTAAATACATATTTATATTATCAATTTTATTAATAATTTTTGATAAATAATAAATAATAACCGTCAACTAAAATTTTTTGAAGGTTTCTCAAAGTCAGAAGCTTGACAATATATGTCAAAGTTAAGGCTATCGGCGTGGCGTCCGTTAATGTGCTAAATTAGAAAGATTTCAAAATGCTCAAAATATAAAATTTTGGTTTCCATTTTTATGAACGTTTATACTTTTTATTTATACTTTATTTTATGTATACTCTTCTGTACCACCTCAATTTTATGTTTAAAAACTTTAATTAACACGATAAACAGTTCAATGAGCGCTTCGTAATTTTTTAATATAATTGGTTTTTGTCTTTAGTTATTATTACTATCTAATCTAAGTGGATCTAATATAAGTGACAAAATCAATCGTAATAAGGAATCAATTTACTGAGTTGCTTTGTTGATCTGCTAAATGCAACTTATAATAACGGATTATCGGTTAAAGATTGAATATACAAAAATTATGTCACACATAAATTTAAACTATAAAAAAGTAACGATAAAAGTAACTGTTAAATTTGCTATTATTGTGAAAAAATATAACTACGTTATATAAGAAACGTTATAAGAAAAAAAAAGTAACGCCGTTATCAGTCCGTTACTAAAAGAAAAGAATGTAACGGTATGTAACGGTGTTACAACTGTTACAAATAACACATTTTTTACTTCCCAACCCTGCTAAAAACCATATTAATCAGGATTGGCTTACCGGGATGGAATTGTTGCGAATCGGCGAGCGTGTGCGTAGAGTATTCTTAAATCCTTCCAGGAAATTTAGCCTACTTTTTGTCGGACTGGGCGTACGTGGTTGCACGCATTCCAATCCCCCGGTTTGCGAGCGTTGTAGTGGTTGGTTTGTCCTATGGTCGTTACCCTTGTCTCGTTTCATCGATCCGGAGACTATCAGCGTCGGAGGAACCGATACGGTTGCTCGCACAGGTTCGGACGTAGTGACGGTGGCACGGCTATACGCCAGCAAATCATAAATGAAATCCAAGACACAGTACTACGCGTCGAGACTCGTGCACTTTGATACGCCTGCTAATAGCCGTATAAACAAATAAAAATTAAAAGTGGTCATTCTTTAAAGTATCTCATCAAATAAATTTCTGGAATCTCTCGAGGCGATCGACAGGAACGAGTCTCAACATGAGCCAGGACATACGAGGGAACCAACGTCGCCAGCAACTTGGGGGAACTTTCAGATGTGTCGAAGAATAGATGAGTGTGTGCTTAGCAACGTATGACGGCAAGGTAAGTAGGTAGTTAGATTGATTGGTTGATTATGATCGTGGTAGATACACTTGGATTTGTTTTCCGCAGTACTGTGTTCTTGATAAAATTATAAAAAAGAAGCTGGTTAGTCGGATTGGTCGTGTATATTAGATTGTAGACGGGAGGATAAGGGATGCATATCACAACCACTCGGACTTAATTATCAATTTACATTTATTCTAGACAAAATTCTTACGATTCGCGGATCAATTATAGTTTTGTTTCAGACTGTCCTCCAGTATCGCGTATTAATATATTGATTGTGGCGTAACAGTATACACAAGTCTGTCCGTAAACTCGTGTGCGCGCGCGCCCAAGTTTTTATAAACATTAAAATAGTCGTAAATATATATATATATATATATATATATATATATATTTTATATCTTCACATATAATTACGTTACATTTATAATATTTTTTTATTACATTTATTTTACGCGTTTTTCTGTATATTATCAAGTCGCATGTGTGTATAAATGTAAACGCGCGTAAACAACAAAATGCACCCCTCATTGATGTGCATATACATATACATAATATATTCACACAATACATGCACGCATTATGCATGCGCATTAGAACGGATTAATACACATTTATAGGCTCCTGGGATCAGATAGTCGAGTTTAAAAGAGTAGTATATGTTAAGGAACAGCATGAGATTTTGATCCATTAAATGATAAAAAGAGCATTGAACTCTCACACGACAATCTAAAATACTAAATATACTTCAATATACATTTGATACAGAGCGATAGTTGAAATCTGCAATCATTTAGAGACATCATCAAATATGAAGATACATATATTTAATATATTTGTATGTTCCAAAACTATCGCATCGTTTTTTTTTAATGACAGTTTTTTACAAAAATTTGGAAGCAATATTACCTTAACGATAATTTCAAAAAATATGCAGTCACGTGTAAGTATTTAATATCAGAAATTTAATTTTACTGCTCAGTCGTCTTTTGCTAAGGAGAGATCACTTCCAAATCCAACGATGAGTCATTAAAAAATAATGCAGCACTTTTGAGATACCCTGCACTTTTCTGTGTAAAATATTTTATTCCTTATTAAGCCGATAGAAAAGTGTAAGTTTTTAAGTGTAAGTACTGTGTCGTGTGTAAACTCTTTAAGCTCCTGCGCGTAAATATAGCTGAATAAGCATTACCATTTCATCTGTACTACGAAAGCAAGATGTCATCACCGAATATAAAAGTAATCCAGAAAAGGGATGTGAGAAAAATAATTGGATACGTGCAAATATCTTTTAGTAAGTGATATTAATAACAATATAGGCACGAGTGGAAAATAGTTAATTTTCGACAAAGGTGAAATGGAATTAAAGGGCGTAGAGGTGAGCAGGCGATGGTTTCTTATATGACGATTGTATCTTCTTTTTATATAAAATATACAAAAATATGTCGGAACGGAATATTCACAGATCGGATATTAAAAGAAAGTCGATGTAGTAATTTAATTAAAGACGCTTACAGTGGACGAGCTCCTTCTTTGGCAAGTTTCCTCTGGTAGGTAATTGGTGATTCTATCGCCTTCAGGAAGTCGTTCTGAGTTTTCAGGATGGAAGAGATGGCATCTATCCACTCCTGTCTGCTCGGTCCACTACTTTCTGGAGCTACGCTACACGAGAATCCTCGTCCAGTACTTCGAGAATCCACGCCCGTCGATTGGATAATAAACTTCTCTGGATCTTCCTTTGAATCTTCAAGACTCATTTTGTTTGCCTACGTATGGAATACATCGATCCGATAACGCAATTCCCTTTTCCAGAAATAAAGATGGCCAGGTAATAAAAATGAATAATTGATAAATGATCTTACCAGAATATGTGCTTTATATACATAGCCAGGATTGGTGAATTGCGTTTTCTTGCCCACAATTTCACTGAAGATGATATTTTGTTCGAAAAGAAAGACTTGCCATTCCTTTACTTTCGATACGTTCGTTAGTTCCGACACCAGAAGCGGACCGCGTAACAAGAGTTTTCCTTGCGCCGTTATCTTACCCTAAAGAAAGGTGTTAAACGTAAAGCATGCTGTATGCACACGAAGTGACTTTTATTATCAGATTCAGAATGAATTTCTAGCAACAGAAGTCGCTAGTGTGACATATTTATATATTGCTACTAAATAGTATACAGCCAGCATTTTGAAGAGAATTTAATGGGGATGTATGCATAGCAACCCGAACTATTTGCCAATCGCTTGCGAATTTATTCGCTATCGTCTTGACACGAAACTTTTCTTGACATTGCTACTAAAATCGACCAGTTGTTTGCTATACGGTTCTTTTGTCACTTTGAGTAAGCTTCTTATTTCTTCAGCGAAAAACTTCTTTTAAACACGTCTAGATTTGCTAGCATCTAAAATTTTGAAGTCGCGACGTGGTCTAGTGGTCGCTGCGACAAAAGTCATGTAAATTGAACATGTCCAACTTTTCAAACGAATAGCTAAAACGTGATTTACAAGGAGCGACTTTTATTCGTTTTGAGTAAGCTTCTTAATTCGCCAGCGAATTCCCAGATAAAAACTTTTTCCAGTCGCTCGTTTTTTATTCGCTAGTGTCTAAAATGTTGAAGTCGCAAAGACTAATGGACAAATATGACAAAAAGATAAGCACAACAGCATTTTTGAAGCTAGTTGCTGCCTTCTTTTATTCGTCTTTTCTGCTCTTCCAGAATCTGGCTTTTTTCATTAGACGCTAGACGCGATTTCAAAATTTGAGACGCAAGCGAATAGAAGTCGAGCGACTAGAAACAGTTTTTACTAGCGAATTTGGTAGTAAATTAAGAAACTTACTTAAAGCGAATAAAAGTCGCTTCGTTTGCGCATGTGAAATACGTCAAATTATTTGCTAGTCGCTCGTTGATTTATTTGCCACCATCTTAATACGGAGCTTCTTTTGACACGACGCTGCTACTACTAAATCGGTCAGCTATTCGTTAGAAAAAAGTTAAACATATTCACCTTTTGTCTTTTGTCGTTACAATTACTAGATATGCTGTGACTTCAAAATTTTAGACGCTAGTTAATCTAGATGCGAGTAAAATTTTTCGCTGGCGAATTAAGAAGCTTGCTCGAAGTGACAAAAAAAGCGCCGTATAAAATGAACAACTGGCTACTTTGGTAGCAGCGTCAAGATAAACTCCGTGTTAAGACAATAGCGATTGAATTCGCGGACGACTGGCGAATAGTTTGGCGTACTGTGCATGCGTCTTCGCTAGATTGTTGGCGAATTCATACTGTCTACTAGCAACATGTAAATGCCGTCATACTCACGACTTTTATCGTCAGAATCGCTCCGAATCTGTCGACAAATAAAGCTCACGACAAGCATTAAAGGTCGCTCCGTGTAAACCAGCTTTCAGCTTGAAAAGTTGAACATGTTCAACTTTTGTATTTTTTGTCGTTACGACCACTAAACGACTTTAAAATTTTAGACACTAGATAATCTAGACGAGAGCGTCTACAAGAAATTTTTTGCTGATAAATTAAGAAGCTTGCTCAAAGTGACAAAAAAAAAACGTGGTATAAAGCGAACAACTGGCCGATTTTGGTAGTAGCATCAAAATAAGCTCCGTGTCAAGACAGCGCGGGCTAAATGAATTCGCGGGCGACTGGGTGAATAGTTCGGCGTACTGCACATACTAAATTGTTGGCGAATTCATACTGTTTAATAGCAACATGTAAATGCTGTCACACTAGCGACTTTTGACGCCACAAATTCGCTCATCTGGCGACAAAAGCTTGCGACAAGTATAAAAAATCGCTCCGTATAAACCACGCTTAAGCAATTTAGTAGTAACGTCAAAAGAACGTCGAAAGAAGATTTATTCGCTATCGTTTTGACATGGAGACGTGACAAGACGATGGCGAATAAATCAGCAAGAGTTTGACAAATAATTCGGTGTACTGCTCACTATGCAACGAAACGATTTTAATTCGCTTCGAATAAGATTCTTAATTCGCTAGCGAATTTGTTGAAAACTTCTTCTAGTCGCACAATTTTTATTCGCTAGCGTCTAAAATTTGGAAATCGCAGCGTGTAGTGAACAAGAGCCAGCTAGCATAAAAAAAACTGTTATGTTGTTTTGTCACAGTGATTTTGACACTGCAATTTGAAAATTTTAGACACTAGCGAATAGAAAACAAACGACTAAAAGTTTTTACCGGTGAATTCGCAAATTAAGAAGTTTGCTCAAAGCAAATAAAAGTTGCTCCACGCAAACCATGCTTAACGGATTTTCAAAAACGTTTTTATCATTTAAAATAAGTGAAAAAAACCAATATTAACCTCAAAACCTTGTAATCTTCCAACGTCCATCATATCATTTGCAGTTTTAGGAATAACTAGCATGACATCAAGCGCTGCTGTGAGGTTTTTGATTTCTGCTGTTCTTTGAGTTTGCTCAGTGTAGCGCAGTACATCCCGTAGAATTAGTTGATACTTCGTAATTCTTTGTACAGGTTTGATCAACAAATCGCAGAGTTGTAGCTTGTGACCAAGCTTTTTCCTAAGTTCCTACAACACACACGTGCTTTTGTTTAAATGTTTTCGTTTTGTAGCCGCTTATCGATTTTTACTAATTACCTCGAAGTAAGTATCTATATATTCAGATACAATGTATTCTGAAAGGGGCTTGTTGTGACAATAATCCACGTACGAGTATAACCTTCGTTCAGAACGTATAAAGAGAGGTCCGAGCAGTTCAGGATTTTCCAAACAACGCTCCACATTTTTAAGGAAATAACTGAAAGCAGAGAAAGTATCGATGTAAAACGTTTTGATGTTTAACGATTATTGTTAAAATTTTTCAACGGTCGATCTGACTTACTCTTTGTGCCACTCGTAGATAGACCCTATATTACCGAAAATTATCTTATCTTTCCCAGAGCGTAGAGCTTCCGGTAAGGGAATCTCACAATTGGGATCGTTCATTAGTTCCATGTAACCTTCAGTTATCTTTTTTAAGTCATTGACATAATCTCTCTCGGTATCCACCAGCTCGCGAATAACATACTGCCGTTTTTTTATCACGACGCTCTCATCCTCCTTGAAATCGATTGTGTTAATAGACGCGGTAGGGGTTTGCATGAAACTATGCCTCTCCTGATTCTCTGTATGTTGCTCCTGTTAATGGTACACATAGTACTTTGTGCAATGCGTAGATCTGTGCATGTAAATGTGAACGGATTTTACTTACCATTTTCTCTTTGACGATTTGCTCAATCTCCGAGAGATCGGCCGTTGTAGCGCCGCCATCGAGAATCTTCGTTGTATGTTCCGGCAATTCACTTGGTATAGTAGATCCTGATGGAACATTTGCGGTTGCTACAAGTATTGGTTCGGTTATAGGCTTCATCGGAGGTGGAAGTTCCAGATCGTCGTCGGCATCTTCACCACTATTCTGCTCCTGCAAACTCGTCACCGCCGTGTCGTCGCTCTCCTTAACATCTACCTCGACCTGCTGCTGCTCTTCCTCTTTACTGATTTCCTCGCCCTCCTGCATTTCAGCCTCCGCCTCGAAGGCAGGCCGATTAGGCTCGGTGATCGGTAAGTGAAATTGTTTCTTCGTGCCGCTTTTCTTCAAAGGCAGCCTAATCAAAGAAGGTGATGTTGGTGCGGCCGTATTGGTTTTCTCGACTTTACCATGGCTAAATCTGCGTAAAGGTGATACCCATATACTAGACCTCCGTCTATAAACAGAAACGCCCGGCCATGGTACGTGATTATCGTTGCACGTATGACATTTCGAGATAAGCATGAGGCATTTAGACGACAGAATTTCTATGAAATGCTCACCCACTGAAACCTCGCCTCTTGTTGCCAGGTGAATTTGTACTAGTTGAAGCGCTACTGTCGCTTCCGGTGTTTTCTGTTAATTAAAAGAGCAACTGTTACTCTACGTATCCCTAAAATTACGCTCCAAATTATGATCAAGTTATTAAAAGTGATAAAAAACGCGCGCGCGATCGCGTCATCAGGTTTCGTGCCAATTTCATTTGCGGTTCATCGACTTGCTGCACTTTTTACTGATCCGTCGATTTGGTTTTTTTTTGTATTTCTTTGTACAGCTCACACAATAACACAATAACTGCTAGTTTTCACAAGATGATAGGTATTCGGAAGAAATGGGAAAACTGAGCGTGATACAAACAGCTCGATACTTGATCAATCATTTTCCACTTACCCGTGTCCTCCGATACTATCGGTGACAGTACCGGTAACGACCGCGCAGTTAACGAAGACGCCTGCTGCGGTAACGTGTTGCCGGTAGTCGATGACGTGATGGTAATTTGCTGTAGCGCTTGGACGATTTCTTGATTGATTTGTTGTTGCTGCTGCTGCTGCTGTTGTTGCTGTTGCTGTTGCTGTTGCTGCATGGACGCTTTTTTGGACGGTGAAGTTTTGCAAGAGGCGGTCGGCGGCTGTTTAAGAGCGCTGGTAGGCACTAGACCCTCCGCTGCCGGTTCGGTTTGTCCGGACGTGAGCGGTAGACGCACCAGGGTCCATTCACCAGAATTGGGCATGCCAGTAGTGTTGATGTTCACGCTACCATTCTCCAGCACCTCGACCTGTTGTCCTTTCGTCACGCTGAGCTCTTTCGAGCCCGGCGCGGCCATATGATCAGCGATCACCCATGTCATCTCAACGACTCCGGTCTAAAATCAAGCATTGAAGCATCCTTAATAGGCGGCATATTGTGCGGAAGATCGCGCGCGATTCACGGTCGACGTACGTTAGATATCCGCGCGAATACCGGAGCAGAGGGGTAGGGGTGGGGAGGGAGAGGGAGGCAAATATAGAAATGGGATAATTAGCGGAGTGTGATGTGTCTGTGTGCGCGCGTGCGTGAAAGCGGCGGTGGCGGTGGTGATGGTGGTGGTGGCAGTAGTGGCCGCGGCGGGGTCGAACAAGGGTGGGTACAGGATAATCCGAAAGCGGGGAAGTAAAGCGAAGAGGAAGAGAAGAGCCTGCCCTCTCGTGCTTACGCAAGCGTAGACAGGTCGATATGATCGTCCTCTCCGTCGCGCGAGGGCTCGCTCGTTCACATTCTCTCTCATGCTCAACCCTGTCACTCTCGTTCTCCCGTTCGCTGCGCGAAAGACCGATTGTCTTTGAATTTGCGGATCGACGGAGCGAGATTCCAGAGATCCGATTACTGATGCCTGAGTGATTCTGATCGTCGGATCAGTGTCACCAGGTGTCCCTTGCTTGCTTGCTTTCTCTCTCTCTCTCTCTCTCTATCTCTCCCACTCGCTCGTTCGCTCGCTCGCTCAAACGCTCGTTCTTTTTTCCTTTTTTGTGCGCGCGAGCCCGCCCTTCCGCGATGACGCATTTAAATCGCACGCAGATTCCGGCGTTTTGAAAATAGCTAATGTCACAACACTGCGGTACTTTGACGTTGCTATAAATACCGCGCGTGTGCGTGTATTTTATTGACGGAGCGTGTACGTTTTTACAGCGTTTGAACCAACAACACTGTTCATTCTTCTTCTCTCTCTCTCTCTCTCTCTCTCACTCGCTCGCCTGCTCACTAGCTCTCTCTCTCTCTCTCTCTCTCTC